TGTGACGTCATTGCGGGGGACTGGGGAAAGAAATTGTAATGCCGTATCCCATTAACCAACGCGCGCACCAATTCAATCTGTTTTCATGGCGGCCGGTCGGCGTGATGCGAGGTCGATGTAGCTAACTACTTTCGCACTTTAACAAGTGAGAAGACTTGTCATGGGTAGTTTGAACAATGCAGCTACTGCCATGAAAAGAAACTCCGTGTCTGCGTGGTTAAATACTTTGACAGCTTTTCGCGATGAACATTGCAGACAATCCAAACGTAAGCTCGATGTACTCATGCATTGTATGAAGTTTGCTTTTTTATTTNTTAATGAGCACTTCTCTACCAGGTGATCTGTGACGTCATTGCGGGGGCCTGGGGAAAGAAATTTTAATGCCGTATCCCATTAACCAACGCGCGCACTAATTCAACCTGTTTTCATGGCGGCCGGTCGGCGTGATGCGAGGTCGATGTAGCTAACTACTTTCGCACTTTAACAAGTGAGAAGACTTGTCATGGGTAGTTTGAACAATGCAGCTACTGCCATGAAAAGAAACTCCGTGTCTGCGTGGTTAAATACTTTGACAGCTTTTCGCGATGAACATTGCAGACAATCCAAACGTAAGCTCGATGTACTCATGCATAATTTGTATGAAGTTTGCTTTTTTATTTCATACTTATGTACTGGATCGGGCATTCGCTTTATCAACAGTAAATGTTATTCGTATTAAAGCTGCCTTGTTTCTGGGAATGGTGTGTTTGTGTTGATTTTATTTTTTATATGTGCTGATTTTAAAGAAGTTTTGATCGAGCCTTCGTTGCTCTCTCGAAGTCAGTTCCATTATCGCGGGCTTTTTGACGCGGGGATATTCAGCATTTAAAGTACTTTTAAACATGTATTGTTTCTTTTGCCGGCTAATTGTTTTTATTGTGATTTTTGTTGTTTGTTTGGATGTCTTGTCGAGCAAAGGAAAATGTCCTTCACGCCGAGTCAGTAATTCGACTTCATTGCCCATTTCAAAACTGTGGTAAATTTTAGAAAAACAAAAAGAATTTAAACGAACATCTTCATCTTTATCCGAAGCACAAACTGGATGGCTTGTCAACCTCTCGGAAACGGGTTTCATTAAGACAATGCGCAGAAAAATTTCTAGACGATGAGAGTAGTCCTTATTCCAGGAAGCAAAGGGTCAGTGAAGTGCTGAACTGTCTGAACGATGAAGAACTTGCGGATTTAGTTTTACCGAAGATTGCCAAAATTGTGTCACCTGTGGACTTTTTACGGCAAGGAACTGATGGAAATCATGATTTTCACAGCAAATTATGCAAGTTCAGAAATGAACTTTTCCTACGCTACCCGGAACTTTAGGCACTGTTTTGTCCAGAGCCCTCAACAAGCACTGGTTTCTATAACCAGAGGCAAGTGTTCACTGAAATAGTTAAAAAGAACAAACCTAATTCTTGCAACTGGCTCCTTGAAATTGACAATAGTTCTTTTTACAAGGATGTTGTTATGCCTTGTGTTTTTAAAAAACAGCACTCGGCATTTTTGGAATTTTCTTGTGGAATTGTCGGGTCCCTTACGATTGGACAAAAGGAAACACAAGATGCACTAAGAAGTGGCCATTGGTATCAATTCAATTTTAAGTAAAGATGAGATTTTTGGTAATCTGAATGACACCCACCAAGAATTACTGAAACAAATTTGTCTAGAATTTAATGAATTTGGAGAAGTGGTTGTAGGCTATGTTGACATTGAAAAGTACATTTCATTGTTTCTTGCCCAACCTGGAATTCAGAGTGTAATAAATACACCCAACAATTGTCTGATTCTAATGGATTACACAGATGGTTTTCCGTGGCTTAATTGGTCTCATCATTTTACTGCAGAAACCAGTGTAAGAGTGAAACTAGTTGAGCCTTACAATTTACTTAGCACAGTTTTGACTGTTGTCCTTTAGTTGGGGAATGATGACTATGAGACAACACAAAAAAATGTGGTCATGCTGTTTATAAACAGCTTCAAGAGCTAAAAACAATTAAACATCCACTGACTGGGCAAGAAATGAAAATTATTAGTCTAAGACACACTTGTGGGGATGGTAAGGAAAGGAGGTTATCTACTGGCAGTTCATCTGCCAGATCTACTTATCTAATCCCAGAAGCTCCAGAGCACCAGAGCCAACTGGGTGACATGAAGATCATCTGTCCAGAACCAGTTTGGACAGTTTTAGATGCAGAGAGTTGCCAAAAAAAGAATTTGAGAGTGAACTATGTGGAAAAGCCCCTACTAAAGAAAAGCGCAGAGAGTTTGCAAAACAAAATCTTGGGAACACTGGGCGTAAAAATTTGAATGGTACAGCCTTTTTGGAGTACTACCCTGGTACTGCTCACCTTGGGTTTCGGTCACCTGAAACACTATGTTTGCGAATTGCAAAAATTGCAGCAGGTAAAATGTGCCTTATTCAAACTAGTTCACATCAACAGTGATTGTATTGTGCCAGAAAATATCTATATCTCATCCATAGAAAGTTTTTATGGTTTAACACACCAGGAAGTTGTCTTTAGCTTTACTTTCCTTGCATCAATAGAGGTAGGGGTCTGTAGGGTGATTATGGATATTTCTACAAAATGTGTAGCTCCATAAAATATTGATATCTCCCCCATGGAAGGGATTTTTTATAAGCACCCTCACCCTCCAGAAATTCTGAAAAATCTCCTAATAATTTTTTTATAGTTTTTGGTCTTTGAGAATGAGACCCCCAGGAATTTTCATTTGCCTTCTGTGGGGGATAATGGCTAGTTACTGGAACTAAACAATAAGAATAACAAAACAAAATGTGTATAGCGACATGTTCAAAAATTATCAAAGTCCTTTTAAAATTAGGAAATAACATGTATGCCTATCACAAGTTTGCACCCTTTCACTAAAAATCCTGTAAAATTATAATCTACATTTTACATGAATTGGGTCTAGTATATAACCCAACTGATACAGTATACCACAATAACATCTGGAATTTTTACAGTTTAAAAAAGTAGTTGTGTGCTACACAACTCTGCAAGTCTGTTCATTTCATTTCTGTTCATCTTCATGACTGAAGATTCCTTGAGTCTAGATGTCATGTCATTACCAGAGTTGGAGAGGAAGGTTCGAAGGCAGAGTTGTATCATTGAAGCAGAAGTCAACCAGAAATCGAGCGGAAAATGGACGGAGGAATGTATCCTGGCAAGTGGAAAATCACCATACCGGATTACGGTGGGACTGATGCGTCAAAATGAGCCTAAATTGAGCCAGTTGAAAGAGCTGCAACAGAAAATTCCATCCTTGAAGCGAGCAGCGGATGGAGGCCTTCAGGCAACTTACCAACCAAGCTCGAACGTCCATGGAAATCCCGAGGAAAGGTATCCGGTCTTGAAAGATCCGACTCTCGTCATAGCCGGGTAGTTCGCTTGTGTACGTCTCTTAAGCACATTACCATCGCACAATAAAACTGAGTACGTCATCAAAATGTACTACCTGATGGAAATGAATTTTAAAACAGTCTTCTGCGGAAAAGAATCGAGCGCTGAGTCGAGAATACTATCCCAGCATTGGACTCACAGAAGCCATCCAAGTAAGTAAAATTTTCACCTTTCAGAACAATAGCTGTCTTTCAGAACATTTCTTTGTCGCAAACTTTCCCGCATGGCGCCCGACCGACCGCCATGCTTCGAAAACAGATAGAATTGGTGCGCGCGTTTGTTTATGGGATACGGCATTAAAATTTCTTTACCAGGCCCCCGCAATGACGTCACAGATCACCTGGATTGGTTTGAGCGCTGGACTGTTGTGCGGGAGGCCGCGGTCGATGGTTCGAGCCCCGGCCGGACCAACACTGAAGGTCTTAAAATATCTGAGGAGAATGCGCTACCTTTCTATAATATCAAGAAATGGATAGACATTCTAGTGTTCTCGGATAAGGACGATTAAATCGTAGGTCCCGTCTCCTGGATCTAGTAATTAGTTAATTTGGTTAGGCAGGGGACGTTAAAGAACCCACTCACGAGATTACTGTGATGTGGTCTGGCCTGTTTACTGGGAATTGGGGGGAGGGGGCATCTTCAAATAAGTTTCCTTCGATTGTTTGTAAACTGCTGATGCAGTCCGGCCAAAGTCCCCCGAAAAGTGTTGTGATGCGCATTTGATCATATCCACATGTTAATTTGCGCAATATAAATATTAAATTATTATTATTACTATTATTATTATTATTATTATTTACTGTTTGCTTTAGGGCCGGACGGATGAATACGATAAGGTCAACTCTTTTGTTTCAAAATAGGTGGGGCGGTAATTTGGATTTAGTATTTTAAGACAAGAACAATCAAATCAAAATGTCCTTAATGTGCGTGTCACATTCTGAATTTGTTACCTCGTCCTCTCCTCTTCAGCTGAGTTGCGGCTTTAACTACATTACATGATTTCTTACTCCAAAATGTTTTACTGAACACTTGCAGAATTTCCATGAAAGCCCTTAGCCTACTGATTGGACTTAGTTTTAGCCTTTTCTAAGAGATCGGAGGCAAGTGCAAGACTAACGCGAATTACAAAAGGCGTTCCTCTCCGAGTTCGCGCTTGTCTCCGTTCATATTCTCAATACAGCAATTCTGGCCAGAGAACTCGAAGTTTATAGTACCATTGAAGGTCCGTTTAACTCGTGATACACCGAAATTGTTTGCTTTTCGATGGCATCGGTACACGTTTTTTTTTCTTTTTTACAATATGCCATTCGTGAATGTTTCATTCATCCGAAATGGGTTTGGATTTTCACAAATGAGTCTAGGGAAGTGCAAAATAAGGAAACAGCTATTGACGTATTTTCAAGGGCCCCTTAAATTCACGAGTAACTGTAACAAAGGAATCATCAATGTGGTATAGGTATTTTACTCAAGAGGTATTACAAGGAAAATTGCCAACAAGACAAGAAACGTAAGCAAGCCATGATGTAAAGATCAATTTTAAATTTTTACCTTCGCTTTATTGTTACCTTCTATTCATACAACCAGCACCAGTACCCTTTTTTGGACAAAATAATCACTACGGACTATGAAATTAATGATCTCCCAAAGTTTCGTGGTGACACCTTGTTAACATTGAATTGGCTCTCTTGTTACTTGGTGCAGACAGCACAGGTCAACTCTCTTCCATCGACATAAGGATGACACGGGAGTGAGCCACAAACACCTTCCACAGGGTACAGTAGTGCACCATCTTTGTTTGCCGCACTACCTGGGCGGGCCTCCGCGTCCTCGTCTACACATATATAGTCGCGCTGCTTCTTGTAACCATGCTTCTCAGTCATAAGGTATCCATGATACTCCTCGGTCCAACCAGATGGACAATCATTCCTTGCGGGCATCATAAGCATTGAGCCACGTGACTTGACAAAACATACCACGCACGGTGCATCATGGTTATGAAGGGATTTCTTAAAAGGGTTGAAAGGCCTTACTTCATACTCAGTACCATACACGTACCCCGCGTTCTGCCATCCGTCTTTGTACTTGTCATACTTTGGACTGCTTGGAAGACAGAGATAGTTCACACCACCGCCTTGGTGTGAGTACCTGTCACCACCTATCAATCCTAAAGAGAAAATTCATGATGAAAGTTTTGTATTTCTCGATGAACAGTTTAATAATCAAGTTTTGATAAAAGAAAGAACTCTGTGATGATACCCGACTTTTAGAAAAATCTGAAAAGTCATTTTCTTATCAACACTTTCTATCGTTACACTCAATAAAATTATTATTTATTAAAGCATTCCGGTGCATTAAGTCCATATTTACAAAAAAAAAGCCCTCGAGAGGCTATCACGGATGCGACACATGAGTATTACGTTACCACGAAAGATAATTGAGTAGTGTACTTCCTCATGTCTCCATACTGACGTGCAATTTTACATATTGACTCTTGCCTTTGTAGACAATTTGAGAACCACTTCGACACGTGGTTCTTCCCCAGCGAACGTACTTTACTCCAGACTTCCCAGGTTGTCCCGTGTCTCCTTTGGCCCCAGGTCTTCCAACTCTTCCGCGTTCCCCCTTAGGACCTGGGGAACCTGCAACAGATTTTCCTTCCTCTCCTGTAGTAATATTAAACGTCTGCTTTGAGGTTCTGCTTTGAAATCAACTAAATGGAAGTTATTAAGTGAACGCTCTAAAGAAGCTCGGTAACTATGCGCCTTTCATTTCTGTATTATTCTAAGTTTATCATTTGACTTTGTATTGTCAAGTGTAAAACAGCTCTATCCATCTGGTCGCTGTGGAGCAATTGTATGCCTCCCAGTTAGCTCAATGTATAGAGCGATGGACTGTTGTGCGGGAGGTCGAGGGTTCGAGTCCCAGCCGGACCAACACTCGGGGTCTTAAAATAATCGAGAAGAATATGCTACCTTTCTATAACATCAAGAAATGATTAGATATTCTGGTCTTCTCGGATAGGGACGAATAAATGGAGGTCCCGTCTCCTGCAAGGTTAGGGGTAGGAGACGTTAATTTCCCACGCACAAGATTACTGTGTGATGGATGTCCTACCCTGGAGTGGGATGGGTGGGTAACAGGACCCCCATTGATACCAGTGTTTACTACACTGAAGGGGCTATCCTATGTAAATACAGATGTCTCTCTCTCTCTCTCTCTCTCTCTCTCTCTCTCTCTCTCTCTCTCTCTCTCTCTTTAATCTTTACTATTTAAGCAGATTTAGAAACTCACCGACTCTCTTAAATCTAGTATGCCTGGTGGAAGGCCTAAATAATCATTTTCAGTTCTACCACAGTTCTAATCTACTGAACACATTTTTGATGGATATTTCTTTGTTTTGATCTGTTGCACCCTTTCATATGCAATGTAAGAATTTTTCTCAACTATCGTTTGTAGTGGTTGTTCTAAGACGGTTCTAGCTTACTCCTGTTGTCAACATGCCTTATCATAACCTACGTTTTGTAGCCTAAAAGGCCTGAACTCTAACAATAATGAGGATTTTACTCTGTTCTGAATCCCCGATGTTTTTTTCTTTTTCCGCGCTTTAACCACTTCAGCTTTGCTCAAAGCTAAGATTGCCGTCATTAACATGTTTTTAACTGTTATCATTATAACACCTTCAGTTCAGACACGTTGTCTGTCTGATTTATAGTTTTACTTCTTTTCTTCTTTAGTTTTTCTAATGCTTACCTTTTGGCCCAACTTGTCCAGGTTTTCCAGGAGGTCCAGGTGGACCAGGTGGTCCCATCAAGCTTTGTTTGTTACTTCTACCATGGAGTCCTAAAATATACCGACATGTATCAAATTATACGTTGCAATAAACACTGAGACACACAGATCCGCCATTTCTGCATTCGCCCACATTGAATGGTGTATTTGGAGGACTTAAAATAAATCAGTAAATTTTAAGAATAGCAATGCAGAACGAATACTGTTTATGGCTTTTTTTTCCTGACCGAAGCTCTTACTTTACTGAGATATATCAGTTTTCAGTAGAGCATATTTTATGGGCAGCATTTTTTCGGTCACAACCTTTAGCCGATAAATAACATTAATTCCCTCTTCTCTTTCTGTCAGATCACTTTAGTTTTCCCCATATTGACTTCGAAATAAATTCTGAGGTTCTTAATTTGTTTTAAAACAAAGATTGACACGCGACTAAAAAAATATTTTTAACTTAATAATACTTTATGAAAATTAACTCAGAAAGTTAAAATGAGAGGTATTGGCACCTAATAATTGCATTGATTAATATGCCTCTCCTTCATTTAATGTCTGAGTTCTCCAAAATAATTTTTCGTTTGTGAAACGTTGAGCGAAGTTTTGAGATCTTCTATAGATACACTTTCGCTTATTCTTCAAGTCGCTCGAATTTGGTCAGTGATACCGTAAATTTCTCAACAGAATCCGATGGAGTTCGATCAGTGAAAGTCGCATTAAATCCTCTTGTTTCTAGCTAGAAAAAGCATCTTATCTGACTTCAATTTTTCGGTGGAAGAAAGACAAGATTTACACACGTCATTGTAGAAAACAAACAAGCAGATTCTCACAACTTCAAAACATACATTTGAATTCACTTATAATTTAACTTTCTATGACCTTTAAACCTAAACAGGGGCAATTCTTCGAAGATTAATCGTCTTTGGAAATAAAAAATACTTTCCGTAAGGTCTCTAGTGCGTTTTTAAGTGAAGATCGTCGCTGTGGTCACTTACCTCGTGAGTGTTTGCCACACCAGTACTGTTTTTCATTCAAAACGGTACATGTGCTTTTTTTTCTCTCCAGTTGACAGGTGTCAGATCGTGACAGATACTTATTGAAAAAGACGTTTCAAAGTTTGCTTGGGAGCATTCAAGTCACCTTTATCATTACGTAAAAAAATGTTTCGGTGAGGCCTTTCTCTTTCACTTGAATAAACTTTGTTTCTTTTTCATGTACTAGCTAAAAAATTGTTCAGTTTATGGAATCCTCCCGTAATTAAACTTGTAACTTTAGCCCTAAATCATTCGGGTTATTTTAGCAAGCAATTCGCAAAGTGTTGGAAAAAAACTTCCATTCACCAACCTAAGTCTTGAGAAAAACTCTGCGCTCCGTATTGAGTACCGCGATATCCAAGACCTTGTAGCTTATTCTGCATAGTTTGTTTCAAGGTTATCACCCAAAATTAATGGCTTAGTCATTGTACAAACCTAATAGATAGGCCAAAATCCACGAGTCGTGTGATCCTGGTTTCAGCAACGCTTCCATTCTGCGAGGAAAATAAAGTAATATAACATAGCGCACAAGTCTAACCTTATTCCCAAGGAGCAGCTATATGCGTATATCTCTATGTACAAAATGTGTCTTGAAGAATTACCACCCCCTACAGTTTATAGTAATTAGGCGATCGATCAGCAGTCATTTAGAATTGCAATCAACCATAAATTAAAATTCTATGGATAATATTTATTGTTGTCTTTTTCATATGTCAATTTTAGAATGTATAACACATACCTTATTATAGGAAATTAACAATTCATGTAATTAACGCGAATTTCAAAAATTCGCGTTAATTTTATGTATCTTAATTTATCTAATTGTTAATTAAAATGACGTTAATTGAATGCATCCTTATTTAGACACCTTTATTATAAGCAAAGCTACAATACTCTACGTCACTGTCAGAGTCGGTTGACTCATCATCATTTAATATTAAGT